TTTGTGTAGGTGAATAATTCGTTTTCTTGGTGAAACAAGTGGAAAGGGGCTTTACTGGAATCTGAGGAGATTGGTTTTTGGAGTGATTGGAATTGCTCAGCAGATTTCAGAAGGCAGTGTGTTCTTTAGTAAGAACTTGTCTTCTGGATTTATTTATTTCATATAAAACTTTTACTATAAAAAATGATGTACAGTGACCATTTGGCTTACGTTTTTCCTTGGGTAATAGTAGCTGCCCTTTTGCTTGCAGTCTTAAGGTATCTGTTAAGGAAAATTGGATTGTTTATGGTACGTGTTCCAAATAGTGATGTTCTCTAGCTTACTAAAGAGAGTGAGCTTTAAAACAGTATCTAGAAGTGATGGAGTAGAAGCCTGTTGCTCAATAGGCTGTGTGGTTGTAAGTCCACCTTTCAGTGAGCAGATGAATTCATTGGTACCTTCTGCAAACAAGAAGGAATGGGCCAGGCCTGTGCTGCATTGGTTAGCTGAGGACTTAATATTTTGTCAGGTAGTAGAATTTAAGTTTACATATCTTGAATACCTTTGATACCAGCTTTTTTGCTTTGACTGAACAGAGCTTTATTTTGCTGCTGTAGGGTATGATTAGAGATGGATTTTTACCCCTGAGTAAATTAATAAATAAATTTGTTTTAATTTTCCAAAATTCTTGAGTTGTCTCTAGCTTAAGCTAGTCAAAACTTCTATACAGCTATCTACCTGAAAGACTTACTTTAAAAGTGCAGGGGATAAAGGATGTCCATTTTAGTGTGATTTCCTGAGAAATGGAAAGATGACTATATGTATTTAAGCATTAAGCATGTCTGCTCTTAAGCTATCCATCACAAGATTAGCTTTCAGTGGCCATGAAAATTAAAATAAAAGTTTGTCTGACTGCCTGCAGCTTGAATTCTCTTGTTGTTGGTGGTGTTTTTTTTTGTTTTAGTTACAGGAGAAGTACAGTACAGATTTCCGATTAAAATTAGGTAGTCCCCTGCAGTTTATTTGCAGGAAGACTGTGAATGTAGTAGCATATTCAAGACAAGGGATGAGAAGGCAATGGTATTACTGGGAATGTTTATACCTACTTCAGGCAGCTTGAAATGAAGGGAAAAGCACTTTGCGTAATGGATGATATCAGATTAGCCAAGTTATTTCAAACATCCAGTTATAATTCTTTGCCAGTTAATTATGGGTACTTTTGAATTTATTTGGTGGATGAAAGCAAGATGTACTGCGCTTGTTTTGCAATTTTAAGAAACCAAAGGTTGATTGTAACTAAAAAACCTAGTATTAAGTTTCAAGGAGTATAATAGCAGTAATGTGTGCAAATGTCTCAAAAATTATAGGAAAAAACTGTGTAGCAGGCGACAGAGAAAAATTATGGAGAGTTTATTCAGCGAGGAGGAAAAAAAAAGGATGCAAATTGCAAAATTATGAAAAGAAAAAGCTTTGTCTAAAATATCTGATTTCATAGGTGTTTAGGGTTTTGACAGGGACCAGCGTGAAGTGAAGGAGAAAGAGCTCGAAGGAAGCACAGCATGGATATCAGAAGCACAGAAGAGAGTCATTAAATAAAAAGGTTAAAAAACATATCTTTGAAACTGAATCTTGACACGTCTCACCTCCTGGTTCCAGAAAGGAAGCAATAAAACCAGAACTAAGAAGCATTTGTGAAAAGAACTTTGTCTCTTGCATTCAGATGAAACGTTAGCTTTTCTGAAGTCATTGCAAGAAGAAGTGTGCAGGGACTGGAAAGAAATTTTACGGTGAGGTTCTGTCCAGTAGCTGTCTGCCAGTGACTCTGTCAGAACAAGCACTGGCTCACATCACAGCAGCCTCTGTCTCCTTGTGAGAACTCTACTGATCTTTTGGATCCTGATGAGCTTCAACAGCTTATGGAGCTGGGTGTTTGTGTAATATGCATGTGATTGGTTGTTACTTGGTATCATGTTAATCCCATGAGTTACAGAACTTTTTAGCTTGTTTGCAGTAGGTGATACTGGGTATTCTATAAAATCTGGCTCAAGTTCTTTGAATAATTTCTTTGGGGATCATTTTTACTGAGGGAAGCATCTCCTGCAGTGACAACTGTCTTGAGACTACTGCTGCTGCTCAGAGAGGGTACTTGAACCTGGGAAGGCCCGTGGTGAGCTGGGAAGGGACGCTCTCTCCTGGACTGAGTGATGCAGGAAAGGCTGCATTATCATTCTCATTTGTTCAGTCTTGGAGGCACATGTAGTCCTGATGCTAACTCAAGGATAAACCGAGAGGAATTAGAGTTTTTAAATGTAATTTCAAGATCTACGTACGTTAATGTGTCTCTCACCAACAGTCTTATTATCCTGTATTTCTTTTAGTGTCTCATTTCCTTAAACTCAGCAAAAATGAAAGCTGTAACGTTAAAGAGAAGATGATGATATGAGAACATGAGTTTAAATGGGTGTATTTTATTCTGATTTACTCATAAGTATACAGGAAATGATATTGCATTTAATGAGTAAACTTGGTTTAGTGATAGTTAAAAAGCAGAGTGTGTATGCTTAAGAGCATTGCCCTGTAATGGTTTTAAATTGGTTTTATTTTTTAATGTTTTTGTTTTCTTGGAGAAACACAGGTCTTCTGGGTTTGAATGCTAAACTGGTTGGGTTTAAATGCTAAAGAGTAAAAATTTAAGTATAGTTAGAAATTTAAAAAGAAAATTTCAATACTTTCTTTGGACTCAAGCACATTGAACACAGTATGTGCCACTAGTCCTTTCCTTTATTTATGAACTAATTTTCAGATAGACAATTCTATGATAATCTTGTCTGCCTGTAAAAAGAACTTTGGTAAAATGTAAAAAGATTAAAAATGTAGATATCCTGGTCAGAGTCTGTTACAGACCACATCTCTTTTTGTATTCTTCCTGCTGCTCAACATTAATTTAAAAATTGATTTTATTTTTGAAACTCTTCTTTGTTTATATTTTGCATTCCCCACCAGATCAAGTTACAGTCCAAGCTCAGGTTCTTTTCTGGAGGAACAGTATCAGCAGTGGAGGCTCTGAAATACATAAATAACATGTATAATGCATTTTAATTGAATGGGAATAAAAATTTCTCTAAATATGAACCTTTTTAGGCACCTCTTGATTCCTAAGTGTAAAATTACTATTTTGGGATTTTACATATAGGAGAAATAGGGCCATGTGGGATAGATTGGCAATGGTGATATGCTACTACAAGTTCAGGAAATAAATGTCAGTGAGTGACTAGGAGGAAAGGAGTAATTAACCCTATAGAAAATAATATGCCAGCAATTCAGATATATCAATTTGTTAGTTAATTAGAGGATGAAATCTGCTTTTTTTCATAACTCGTATTACTTAAATAGTAAATATTCAGTCAATTAAAAAGCAATTTTTATGATGAACAGTAGCTTTACAAGGCAACCCTATTGCACTGAGTCTGTTTGTCTTTATTAGATATGACATAAGTGCTAACCAGGGATGACAAGCTTCTTTAATTAACTGTGCCATACTGTTCATCAAATATAACCTGCATGTCTACTGAAAGATAAGCTGAACTGTGAACTTTATTCCACTGTCTGTATTGCCTAGATCTTCATTTCCTAACTTAATTATAGTAATGCCTTTTTGGGACTACCTAAAAACAGAGGCCAGACAAAATTTAGTGAATAAAAAGCAGTTGTATTTATTGAAGAGCCTTCAGGTACATTTAGAGCAGATGAATCCCCCCCTACCTAAAGCTACACCCAAAAATGGATGATGGGTCATGGGTTTCCATACTTTTATAAGTTTGGTCCATTTGCATACTGGGGGTTAATCTTCCAATTACAGCTTCAGGTAATGAAGTAATTTTTTCCTCAAGTTTGCTCCCCCCAACTCACTTTTGTTTACATCTCTCCAGGCTGAGACAGTGAGGTGTCCTTTATTCCCAGGCCTAGAGAGGAATTGTTTTGTCTGACCAAAATGGGAAAACAGTAGCTAATACTCTATACAGAGTTTAGAGTTATGAACTAAAGAATTGCAGGATTACTAATATGTGAAAAATATGAAAATTAAAATCTTAAGGCATCAGTAGAAGCTTAGATGTTTCACTTAGATGTAGACATACAGTATTAGGTGTCTTAATCTTGGACTATATCCCATATTGAGTATTTAAGATGACTGTATGGTTTTCCTGAAAGAGGTGGGGAAAGTGTGCTTGTCTAGGAGTATCCCTTCAGCTGGTGTTTTAATGATGTAAAAGGATCTGTTTTGCTAGTGAAATTGAAGGTGGGAAGAGCAGTATGTGAGCTTGTCACTTGGTTTTACTGCCTTGCCTGGAAATTTTGTCTGGGTGTCTGAAAACTGAAGTTGGAACTTACTGAATGTATTTTTCTGAATGCTGTAGAGTACAAGTAAAAGGCAGTCTCCAGCAAACTTCATGCAGTAATGGTTGCAATGCCTGTGTCTTCACTTTGAAGTGATGGCAGCCCAGTGAGATGGCTTGACTGTGTGAGGCTCAAAGCACTATGTTTAGGAAAAGCAGTCCTTAGTTTGGCGTGCCCTGTTTCTGTCAGAGAGGTGAAAAAGAGTATGGGACTGCATTCTGGTAGTCATGGACTCCAAATTTGTCTGTGGTGGAGGCTGACAGTGCAGGCATACCTGACAAGATTAGAAGAAATATCCTGTGATTCTGAAAAAAAAAAATCATGTTACTCTCATTGCTTATGTATTTTCATCTGGACACTATAAGTTTCTCTTGACAGTTTTTCTAGCCAATAAATATTGCTTTATATTTCCACACTGATGCTTTTTTTCCAGCCAAAATATTTGCTTTTCAATAACCAAGTATTTCTATTGGGTACATAAACATTGTGACCGTCCAAGCAGTAAAACATTATTGTAGAATAATCTTACTTATCACCTGAATTTTGGAAGTTGGCATTGAAAGAGGGGAGACAAGTAGTTTTACTCTGAGAATATAAGGTGTGATTGATTCTCCCTGTATTTCCAGGTGCTGCCATTGGAAAACAGGATGAAGGACAGCACACGTTTCCCCCAGGCACTGAACATTGGGATGGGAATAGTCATGGCATTGTACATCTCACTGGCCACCCTAGGGTATCTGCGCTTTGGGGATGAAGTCAAAGGCAGCATAACTTTAAACCTGCCACAGGACAAGTGGTAAGTGCCTCTGTGATTTAAATGCAGTAACCTAGAAGGCAGAAATGTTGCAAAGGTTGTTCCATGCCTCATTGCCATCAGGGTGTTAAGACTTCTAATATATCCGCAAAAGAGCTGTGGCCCTAGCCAGTAATTTCTTCCATAATAAAAGGACTTGCATATGGAGACTGATCAATGATATTATAAATCATTCCATCTCTAGAAGGAGCTAGTTCCAGGACTGTTGAAGGAGGAAATATGCAGTTTGCAACAAGCTGTCATGCAGTTCTGAAGTGAGCTACTTTTACTTTGGATATCCTGGTAATATAGTGCCCTGTTTTAGTGTGATCACCGGGTTTTGCAGATGAACAAATGGAATAGAAGACATAAAGATGAATAGGTTTGTAGTTCAAGTGCAAGTTGATGGATAGTGTATATGATGACTTTCTGTCAGGAGAAATAAACATATGTTTGCCAGTATCTCAAGGATACTACAATTTTTATTTTGATTTTATTTAGCTTTCTTTTCTTTATGTGCAGCTATGAGGGCTGCACATGTCACGAACTGAAGATGCGCTGAAGATGATTTCAGCTGCTGTATTGTTAGTTTTGTATCTGTCTGTGGGTGGATATACTCTTAACTATCCTCTAATATATTTTTTTTAGTATTTTTGTCTGATAGGCACAAAATCAGGTATATCAGCAGTACAAAAGTGCTAAAACGGAAGAATATTTTAATGTTTTTATTCTGATCAAATAATGTCTTACAGGTCATATACTTGCATCTGCTTGTTCAGTGTCTGTTGTAGTAGCTTATTAAAGTAGTGAAATCTCAAATTATGGGAAAAAACCCCTGCTTTGATGAACTGAATGCTGACTTTTTTATTCTTTGAAAAAGAGGAGAACACGTGTAAAGAATATTCTTAATTTCTAAGTGTTACTTTTTCACTCTCTTTCTTCATTTTCATTCCTTGGAGTCAATGTGAACTATGCATTTTTAATATTCTTAAGAAGTTTTGTTTAATTGTCAGACTGATTCCAGTGTTTATTACAGGAAAGTATAAAAAATTCATCTTGAAGGATGAATGTTTTTTTCATTGCTAGAACTTTATATTTCCTACTGCTAGTTTGCTTATTTTGTTTTTATACTCCTGTTTTATGAACTGAGATTTGGACCTTAATGTTTTTTCATTTTATGGGATTCTTTCCCCTTCCCCTTCTCCCTTCCCTTCTCCCCTCCCCTCCCCAATTTTTGTGGATATTGCTCATCATACATATCTGTTCATTGTATATACATTAGTAAGGTCAAGTGCAAGGCAGGGCAATCCCAAGCACAGATAGAGGCTGGGCAGAGATTGGATTGAGAGCAGCTCTGGGGAGAGTCTTGGGGGTGTGGGTGGATGAAAAGCCCATCATGAGCCAGCCATGTGCACTCCCAGCCCAGATAGCCAAATGTGTCCTGAGCTGCATCCAGAGCAGTGTGGGCAGCAGGGCCAGGGAGGGGATTCTGCTCCTCTGCTCTCCTCTGCTCTCCTCTGCTCTCCTCTGCTCTCCTCTGCTCTCCTCTGCTCTCCTCTGCTCTCCTCTGCTCTCCTCTGCTCTCCTCTGCTCTCCTCTGCTGAGACCCCACCTGCAGTGTTGTGTCCAGCTCTGGAACCCCCAACATAAGAAGGATGTTGACCTGTTGGAACAAGTCCAAAGGACAACCTAAGATGATCAGAGGGCTGGAGCACCTCTCCTGTTACAGGCTGAGCAAGCTGAGGGATTTTCAGCCAGGAGAAGGCATTGGAAAGACTTTCCAGCACCTTCTAGTACCTAAAGAGGGCTTACAAGAAAGCTGGAGGGGGACTTTTCTCAAGGGTATGTAGTGATAGGACAAGAAGGAACGCCCTTAAGTTAAAGGAGGGCAGGTTTAGATTAGAAATTAACAAAAAATTCTGTGTGGTGAGGCACTGGAACAGGATCCCCAGAGAGGACTTCTCATCCCTGCAAGTGTTAAAGACCAGACTGAATGGGGTTCTGAGTAACCTGATCTAGTGAAAGGTAATACCCATGGCAGGAGGGTTGGAACTGGATGATCTTTGAGGTTCCTTTCAACCCAAACCCGTCTGTGATTCTCTGACATAAAAATAAGAACCAAACCAGAAATATGAAAATGTTTACTGTATCTAATGTATGTGATGCAGCTGAAAGGAAAAATACTTCTATTTCTAATATAATGTGGCAGTCCTTGTTATTTATAAGATTAGTGAAAAGCTTTTTTTTAATAGTAGCTTTGGGTTTATTTGTGCCTTAAGAGAGGTGCTCTTAAAAAAGGAGTGAGAGGAATGTGCAATAAGCTAAGGTTGCTACTCACTGTTGCTTTTTATTTTGCTCATGCAAGCAACAGAATGAACTTTATTCTGCATTCCTGCTGTCTAACAGAGCTGTTCACATAGGAGTTTCAAATAGCTCTTGGCTACAGTGCAGATGTGATGATGATGATGATGATGATATTTGTCCTGATGGTTTTGCAGGCCTAATGCAAGGAAACAGATAATAAAAGAGATGGAAGCTGGTGCTCTATAGGGTTGAAAATTGGCATTATAAGTGTAATAACCTCAAAGCTAGTCAAGGCACATATCCACAGTTAACAAAGTCATCTGTTTTTGTCTTACTCTGGAGAGTACCCCAGAGCACCAAACAAAATTAGGAGAAGCAGCTCAGTGGTGCGCTCAGGGATTGTGATGTATGATGCTGTTGCTGTGCAGGACCGTGGGTCTACCTGATACAGTACCGAGGGACAAATGGTTGCAATTAACTGGGCTAGCAAAACAAATTTCCAGTGAACTGTAGGACAGTATTTTGCTATTTGGTCCTCACATGAAAAGCCAGTAAGTTGCCAGTTTGAACTAGAGAAATTGCAAGGAGCAGAGAATTTTTTTTATAAGAAGACAGGCAAAAGAGCCTGGAATGTATCTAAGCAGTGAGACTTGGCTTATGTGTTTAATTCCAGCTGGACAACCCCTGTCTTAAAAATAAGCCTTTCCTGATAAAGAAAATTAAATTAAAATTCTTCTGCTTTCTGAGTTTTATTTGATGTCCTCACAGATGAATTGAGTGGTAAGCATACACAGGCCCTAGACTGGTTAGGTTCTTAGGTTTAATTTAAGTAGAGCAGTAGGACTGCTTATATTCCTAAAAAAATCCTGCTAGATTGGTGCTTTTGGATAAATGACTTAGTGCTGTTCTATTTTAATGGTGTTTGGAAGTACAAATTGTCATTCAGCATAATATATTACTTAGAATATGTTGAAAATGGACTTAAAGAGTAATCCAGTCTTTGCAGATGTAGATGATAGAAAATTTTGCTTTAGTACTTGGTAGTGTCCTTGGTTTGGGTCTCACAGATTGGTAAAGTGGTTTGGGTTGGAGAGGATGTTTAAAGATTGCCTGTTTTGGTCCTGTGCCATGAACACAGAAATCTTTCACAAGACCAGGTTGCTCCAAGCTCCATCCAACTTGGCCACAAACACTTCCAGGGATGGGGCATCCACAGCTTCACTACCCTCATCATAAAAAAAAATTGCTTCTTTGTTCTCTTTTGTGTTCCTGTCTTCTTGAGGCTGAATATGAGGATTCTTTCCACCATCTGTTTTTTGTTAAGATATAAGTGACAGTCTTTGTGCAACAGTTCCCTTACTGTGAATCCCAAAGGTTAATGACTGCACAAACATTAGTGTATTGAAGTTTGACAAGACTTCACATGGGACTAGTTCAAGTGAAAGCTTCACATAATTATTGCTCTGTTTGGTCTAGCTGTGTTGTTCTACAAGTTTTGTTGCACTTTTTGCCAATGTTTCTACCCTTAAAATGGGTGTAATGAAATCCAAAATGTAGAATTAAAAAGAGGTTTAGTACAGATGAATGATTGAAATTTTTATTAAAAGGTAGCCTAAGGACTCATCATTTTCTGATTGGAATATAGTATTAAATTATTAGTAAAATCACCTCAGTAATACAACTAATTTTTTTTTAAATTTGGAAAGTTTTAATCCTCATAGGGCTGTAGAAAAATAGTGTAATGGAGATGCTTACATTGAACAACTGTGTGTTTAAAGTTTTGAATCATGTTTTTGAATATATTTTAGAAATTACTTTCGTAAAGGCTTAGGGTAGTCAGAAGCCTGAGGAATAGAGGTAAACTCTGGGTATCTGGTAAGATAAAATTTAACCTGCTAAAATCTATCTAAGCTTCTGGAATAAGGACAGTCTTGCAAAGCTCTTGCTCCTTCTGAATTTCTAAAAGCTGCTCAGCAGTCAAAAATATGCACGTCACAAAAGCAGCAGCTTCTAAACTAACTACACCATTATGTTAACATGTAAATTGATGTAATAGTTTTTCTGTCCACTTGAATGTGCCTTTGGAGATTCCCTGAGTTGTGTACAGTGATGGCCAAACCTTTGATACAGATTATTTAAGACCTATTTGTCAAAATGTATTTTTAGTTGAAGCTTACTTTTATTTTCTTCTTCATATCATAGAATCATAGAAAAGAGATAGAAAAAAGTTTCCATCATGGTGGAAAAGAGATGAGCTGTACAGATACAATTTTTGCTATGCTGTGCCATTTGACCACAGGATAAGGGGCCAAAAGCAGTACTGGCTGGATTTTATTTACTAATGCAGATACAGACTGTGATACTCAAAGAGAGAATGCTTTAAGTGACCCCTGCCAGGCTTTGAGAGATACAGAGATTCAGGTCCTATTTGTTCTTTCCCTACTCTTACTGCTGTTTTTTATTTTCTTACTTATGCATGTTGGCTTTGCTTCAGTTGAACATCTTTTTAAGGACCGAAGCAAAAACCAAAGCTTTCAGTGCCTGTTCTGCTTGGCATTATCTTCTGTTAAACCAGGTTGTTTCTGAGAAATTTCCTTTCCCTGTTGTGAACACACAATACCCCATGGTAAATGAACCAAGCCCTTACCCAAAATTTTTATAATGTCCATAGAAAGAAAATACTACAAAGAGACTCATAATTTCTGTCAGTTTGCTGCAAACAATGGAAGATGCTTGTAGGTAATGTGGCACAAATTAAAAACTTATCTAAATTTAAAACTGTTAGAGGCATGGATAGCTCTTTGTCATTTGTTTACTCAGCCACAAGTAACGTGGTAAGTATGGCTGGACTTTATTGCGAGATTTACTCTAGCTGGCTTATCTTCTGCAATTTTTTAGGCAGTTAAAATATTATATTCATGTTTTCTGGGGAAAAATATTTTTTCATACATATATATATATGTATCTCCTTAGGGCCATTACCAAGCTAATTTTTTATGAAGAATTTACAGCTTATATACTTACATGTCTGTAAATATTTTCAACAGGTTGTATCAGTCTGTAAAAATTCTGTACTCCTTTGGGATTTTTGTGACGTATTCAATTCAGTTCTACGTCCCTGCAGAGATTCTCATTCCAGTTGTCACTTCCAGAGTGAAGCAGAAGTGGAAGTTACTCAGTGAGCTTGTGGCAAGAGCACTATTAGTCTGCTCAACCTGTAAGTATGTGCAGAAAGAACATCCATTAAAAAAATTGCTATTACATTTTGTTTGCATCTACTTACTTAAATACATGTTTTGTTGTTTATTCTTCCAGAGGCTAGCAAACCTGAAATTTTGTTTCAATATTTCATTACCTTTTGACTTTTACAAACAACTGAAACTAATGTTGTATTTGTATTTTAACCACATTTGTTTTAGTAGGTGTGACCAATTATTTGACAACAATATCTTTTGCCAGTAATAGCCTAAAGCTGCCAACTGGAAAGTAAACCTTTTTCAAATAAAATTTCTTAAATGAGACACTTATTGCTGAGATTTGTCAGCATTTATCTATGTGATCTTCAGTACAAGCTTGTCATAAAGAAATTGTTTCTCTGATTTGTTGATCTGAGGATTAAGCCTAAAAGTGTATCCATAAAGCAGCATTGGCAAACATGGATGCCTGGTCACGGAGTTCATGAAGTGCCACTTATTTTAGATGATAATGCTCCAAAGTAGTTTTGCATCTCTACCTTCACTTCTTGTTGTTTTTCTTGCTTGTCCCCTAATCTTCCCATCCCTCCTGCTGTGTCCCTGCTTTCTCACACACAGCTGGTTGAGATCTACTTGTAGGAGTCAGCAGAGCTGACATTGAATGGTGAGTGTGGTCTCATTTAGGAATCAATACTGAAGATAATGAACAGTGGGGGAAGTTCAGCTTTGCCTTTACAGCTCAGAGCCAAAGTGTTCAATAACATAGCAAGCTTTCCTCAAAGAAATTGTAAAAAAATTGTTTCTAGTACAAAGCTGGCTTCTTGACTTGACCATTTGTATTGAAATGAGCTGTTAATACCTTAAAAACAATCAAAACTGATAAATAAGCAAAAAAATGCTAAACCTTGTGTTTTAGGGGAAAGTATTGATGAAAGGAGATATTTGGTTTATTGTCTCCATTCTCTTGATTAGTGCAGTAGCTATGTGCTGGATGATACCTAAGGATTGTTGTCAAAGAAAACTTTTACATCCAGTGAGACTTTCTTAAGGTCAAGCCTGTTGAGAAAAACAGTTTAATGTCAGTGCAATTTAATTACTGCAGTAAGCAAAGGGAAATATCATCAATCTAATAACATGCTGCTCTGAAAATATATCTGCTTTGTGAAATTAAAAAAAAAAAACAAAAATAAAACTCAAATTTTTCTTGAATGATGAAGTACATATGTCCTGAAGCATCATATAGCCTGCGTTCTATTTCAAGTGATGCAGGCATTAAGATTTTAAGATTGAGGATAGATGAGTAGCTCTTGAGAGACATCTAGATCAAAAAGCTTCAAGGTTCAAAGCACTTCTTAGTGTCTCTCCAGGACAATAGAAGGTCACAAGTAAGATATCCAGTCCTAACCACACCTTGCTGTCATGAGGCTCTTAATTTCTGCTCACTCTCTGTTGCCATTTATGTGCCACTTATCACCTGCCCTAGTAGTGATATCACAATGGATTTGAAAAGCTAAAAATCTTGTAGATCCAAACTGTTGCTTACACCCAAAGGCTTCAAGGATTTATTGGTGAAAGATAGTTTCATGTATGTGTCTGATGAGAAGAGATAGTGGTGAACAGGCTTAAAGGCACATTTCCCTGATTGACTTGGGAAAATTATAAATGACTTGGTACTGTTCAGCCATAAGGTTTTTTCTTAATTTTATCATTAACCTTTGTAATTTCTGGGTAGTCTGAAAAGGGAAAACTGGGAAACAATCTCCAAGAAAAGAATGAAAAAGAGAGGAAATTATCTATATATATGTAAAGGTACATATATGCAAAATATATAGCTATATATATATAAAGATGTAACATTAGAATGCTGTATTGTTATGTCTTTGAAAAAATAAGTAGAGTAGAATTGTATAACTAGTACATGCCATTACAACTTATCTGTGATACAAATCTCTAAAATGGAGCTGCTGAAGTGTGATGGGTGTTACTGGGATATTTGAGGATATTAAATTGGTTGCTGCAAGGCACAAAAAAGTAACATTAAAAGTTTGCTCTTAAATTTGATATTTGCCCGGCTGTTGTGTGATGTCTTGTATTATCCTAATGGCATTTCAGGTTTTTCCCAAGTAGTTTCTACAACTTGTATGCATGAAGTAGCTGTAACAATTTTTCACCAACAGTTGCGTAAGCTCCCATACTTACATTCATCTTCTGTTTATCATTTTTTGTTGAAGCACTGATTTTAAACAGAATTAATTTAAATAGCATCACTTTTCACTTAGCTGCACTTTTGTCTAACTGCAGAACATAGTTCCTAAAATGATTCAGAAAGTCTTTCTTTAATAGAAAGTAAAAATCCAAAACCTTTTAAATTGAATTTTAGAAATTAAATGGTTTTGATACCAATGACGGAGTATGTTGTAATGTCTGGACCATTCAGAGGTCATTCACTGATTAAAGGGAATCTGCTTTCTTGAAAATAATTCTTTGAGAAATTTCAGCTGTGTTGCTAATAACACATTAGCTTTTTAAGAGAAGACACAAAAAATCAACTTGTTACTAATTCTTGGGACGTTTGTATTACTCAAAAATGATGTCATTGTTTTATTGTTGGAGCATATGAGAAACTTTTTTTGGAAGAAGCAGACCCAGGAGTCTTTTTTTTTGGTCATTTTTTCTGATCTGATAAGGTTTGTTTTAAGTAAGGACTTGACAAATGATTCGGGATGTAACACACCCAAAAGCCATCTGTGTTGCTTAGGGCTTTTTATTACTTATTTGCTCACTGATTTTGGACACTGAGCTTTGCAGGAGAATGATCACAAGAATCTTTTAGATTTCCATATTCTGCTTCCTCTGCTTTTTCCTATTTCATTTGCAAGAGACAAACGTCTCTTCATCTTTGCTTGGATTTCACTTTATATGGTGTAGCAAGTCGGAAGATCCACCATACTTCATAAATCCTATCATAAACCATTGTTTTACAAACTCAGATGAAGCACCTGGTGTGCTGAGTGGAGGGGTGAGCTAAGCTTGTGTTAAAAGTCCAGCCTAAAGCTGGAGAGTGGATTTGGTGGATGGTGAAAGCAGGTGGGAGATGGATGTCTAGCTAGCTAGGCCGAAATAGGACTTAAACATCACTGTGGTGGGCTAAGTTAGAAATTCGGAACACACAGAAATAGAAGGAATAGTACAAGAGTCGCCATGGGATTTGGAAAGCACTAGAAAAGTTATGCAGGTGCAATTTTGTGTGGATACTGCCTTGGTATTTGCGGTATTTGAATGTCAGATAACCTCAGTGCTTTGAAATATTCGTCAGTGTGGAATTTTTATAATGTTCAAAGTATTTACCCCAGTTTTACATATTTTAAAAATGCCATAAATATAGTTTGGATCTGTGCTTGCTGCTTCTACTTAGGTGAAGGTTGGGCATCATGCTCAAGGCTCAGCCTTTAGCCAAGCCTGTTACATGATAGGATTGTATGTCCAGCACATTGGGATTAACTGTTAAAGTGTGAAACTTTTTAGTTTGCTTCTGAAGGAACTGGACCATCCTGGATGAATTTTTAAAAGTTCAGTTAATGTTGTTATGTAGAAAGCTGTAAGTTTTATCTTTCCAGAGATAAATTTGCCTGGGAGAACAAGAAAAAAACCCCTTTCTACTCAAATCAGCTCTGTTATGCCCACTGCTTGAAATAAACTGCTGTTACATCATGAGTGTACTTTACTCTCTCCTGCTTTACTTGGTACTGAGATCGTGGTGATTCTGGGAGGGGAGAATTTGGAGAGGTTTGTTCAGCTTAAGCAATTAATTCTCTTGTATTAATAGCTTCAAAATAGGCTGAGAACTTGCGGATTGAGAGATCTGCCAAAGCTTTAGTCAGTGTTGATCCTAAATGGCATCAGACATAATTCACTTCTGATGCCTCACAGTAGGAATTGTGGTAAAAAATTTAGGATGGAGCAAGAATATAAGTTTCCACTAGAATGAATATGTAAATATCTCACTGTCTAGCAAAGGCCTCCTCATATCTTCTGGCTGAAGGACACTGAAATCAGTTTGCTGGATGTGATTTTTTTTTTGTGAATTGGTAAAAGCTGCTGAAAAATATCAGAAAATATAATGGAGAAAAGTGGAGTTAAGCATTAATAGTATCTTTCATCCACACAAGAAGTTTAGAATATTATTTTTTTTAATAGTTTAATTTAGGGCTGTGTTCCTGCAGCCGCGGTTTTCCTGTTAAAAGGAAAATTAAGAAATACTGCATTTGCATGTGGATGTGGAGATATCACTTGAATTGTCAGCTGTTTTGATTATTACCTTGAAATGAAAGAGATTTAATTGAAGGGCTGATCCAGCTGAGCATGAACAGAGCTGTTACTGAGCTGCTTGCCATTAAGTCTGAGCTTAGTGTGTAATTTTACCAAGAGGAGAATAAATGCATTATTCAGTTGAACTTATCAGTTATGTTTTCTAAATATTTCCCTATTTTAACTGTACCTTGTTTTAGGAAAAAACAGTTCTTCATGCTGAACAATTAGACACAAGATAAAATGATGTTTACCAGATGTCTTACACTGTTTGTTGACTTTGTGCCAATAAAATACTTGCTCTCATAGGAGAGGTAACATGAAGGAGTTTTAAGAGCTAATAGTTCTTAATGCATACTCTTAGGATGAAGTGATAATTTATATAGAAGAGGCTTATGTGTTGGTTATTAGTCAGCTATTTTTGTTTTTAATAAGTGTTTGTTAATTTCAGAGAGTAATATTAATGACAGAAAAATGGAATAGTTAAATTAGCGATTTAAGAAAATTCCAGATGGGATATAAAATATTTGTGTGGATTGCTAACAGGTCCATCAAAGTTGGCTTAAACACAAAATAATTGTTTATGAATTGTCAAAGGAATAAAATGAAATATTTGATTAATTCAGTTAATTTTTCCCCCACTGTGTATTGGGGTTTTATCTGTGGCTTTTTTGGATATGGGGAGCTGATGAGCATAATTCTTGCTTCCAAATAG